TGTAGGAAGTGTTTCAATCAATCCTTTTCTCTACACAATCATACAAAAAACATTCACAGCAAATAGACCATCTTCAGATCCAGCACTTTCAGATCTGATGCTGCGTTCTCACCAAATGCAACACAATAATGCATCAAGCAATAAAATATAATCTGGATCAATCTGTCCTAACCAGACATTACAAGTGTCACGAATTCGGTCCATGGACTTCCGTTTATTCACCACTAGAGGTCACCCTTTTCCGCTAGCCCTGGGACTATTCTTGTGTTTTGCCCGCCATCTACCTGTTTGCCATTGCTTGACCCTGCCTGTTTACCACGTCTCTTTAATAAAGCTTGCAGATGGATCCACACGTCTCACGTCTCGTCAGCCCCGTTACAGAATACTCAGCCACACAAGGATCCAGCAGCTTTTCACACGGACATTGGCCAGGTATGGATATGGCAAGACTATTATTAGCCCTCGAGCAGGGCACGCGAACGCTTAAGGACTATGTACAAGAGTATTTAGATCTATCTTATTTCTACAAAGGGTCGTAAACCCTCCAGCAATTGCCACCTCCCGCTCGGAATTTCCATCTTTCTCATTGGACAAGCCCATCTTGAGAGGCGTGAATCTTTGCAGGCTTTAAAGGCCACACTTCATGTGACCCGCCCAGTCGGTGGTCCTGCTAGGTGTCGATAAGATGTGAGTTCCAACGCTCCAGAAACGCTAAGCTCGTGCCAGGCTTCGGCCTTGTCCTTTCCATTCTTCAAGTTACTCTGACGCAAACTGGTTCTTTCTCAACAACCAACTTCAGTAAGATCTTGGGCCTTAAGATTGCATCAGGAATCTATTTTCAGACAGACGAGACTTGCAAGTATCAAACTTAGTCTTATTAATTGATATATTAAGTATCAGTTACACCTTTTTACAAAGGTGTGTTTGAACTAAGAATCTGACGTATCCCTCAGGTGTAGATCTGCTGAATATGCAAATGGTTCCATAAATTCCATTCCTTATATTTCTTTTCTGTACTGAGTTAAGCTTTAACCCTTTCCTATACCAACTGTATGCGTGTGTGTGTGTGTGTATGTGTATGTTAGACCAGTTTATGTGTTTATGTAGATAAAGTGGACTGCCTTCTTTGGAGCATGATGGTACTTGCTGGTGCTAATGGCTGAGGCTAAGCTCTCAGCAATTGCCTTAAGCACCTGGTCATGGCGCCACCGATAGCGCCCATCAGCCAGAGCCTTTGGGCAACTGCTGAGGAGATGTTCTAGAGAGCCTCTTCCAGAGCAAAGAAGGCAGAAGGGTGTCTCACTCTTCCCCCAGACATGGAGGTTCGCTGGGCTTGGCAGGGCATCATAGACAGCTTGTACCAGGAAACGGACCCGATGGAAATCTGCCTGCAAGATGTTTGCCCAGGTGATCCTGCGCTGCAGTGTACTCTCCCACCTAGTCCACGCTCCCTGCTGCCGGAGTCCCCCCGCCCTGCTCACTCGCTCTTCCTCCACGCCTGCTCGAACCTCTTCCTGAAGTAGATGGTGTCTTTCCTTACCGCGGGCCTGGCTAACCAAGGTCTTTGGAAAGTAGCCCAAGCCCGCTCTGCCTGTCGCCACGGTGCCCACCAGAGCCTTTTGTCTCAGGCGTGACTCTGCCACCTCCACTGCTTTCCCAGCCTTCCATTTCCTTCCTGTCCTCACCTCGATGCCGGCTGCTGACACCTTACAGTCCCTGGAGTCCCTATACTGTAGGGCTTCCCTGGTGCGTACCACCTTAAATTCTTCTGTAAGACCACTGAAGGGCAACTGCAAGATGTTACTTGTCCCATACAGTGCAGCGCTGGTAAGACTGCGTGGAAGACCCAGCCACTTCCGAAGAAAGCCACTGATCTTCCTTTCTAGGGACTCAACTGTTGTCATTGGGACTTCATAGATCAGCAGGGGCCACAAGACTCGGGGCAGGATGGAATGCTGGTAGATCCAGGCTTTAAATCTACCAGGCAGACCGGACTTGTCAACCTTAGTGAACCAAGCTCCAAGTTCTTTGTTGGACTTCTGAATGGCGGCAGAGTCTTTCAGGGTAGAGTCAAAAAGCTTCCCCAAACTCTTGACAGGTTGCTCCGCGA